TTTGCATGTTTCAATTCAAGTTTAATTTAGCTAGTAAAAAAATGGCATCATTTATAAAAAAGAAAGTGGTCTAAGTTACCCCATTTTACGGTATTAATAATTTTGTGATAAAGTTTTGGCAAGAGGCAAGGGCTTCAGGGTGGAGAAACTAAGCGAATATTTAAAGATATTTGATAATGCATTAGCATTAATAGCAAAATTTATATCTTCAGAAGAACTTGGTTCAGATATTTACAATGTAAATATTACATTTTGATCAATATAAAACCATTTAATGTGCAATAATTTGCAACCCGCATAAACATAAGTGGAAAATTGGGCAGAAGCTACCAGTGAAATGGTTAAACAGACAAAAAAGCCCACGAATTTGGACCAATTTTATCTATTTCAATAGCTCTTTCCATAAAATTTTTTCTTAAAAAAAGGAAAAGCTGCCTATTTTTATCTGTCGTTTTTGAAATATATTGTAAAATAATTCTTTTTATCCATAATTTAGGAAACTTCTGTCCAATATTCTGAATAGAAGCACAGTTATATGCACATTATGTCATGATTAGGCTGGGCTAATTTAGAATACTGTGCAAAATTTTCTAAAAGTTGAAGGTAAATATAATCATTTCATTGGTGATTTCAAGAAATTGCTGATAAAAATCTGTTTTTTTCTGAAACTGGGCAAGGGCCATAGAAATGGGCAAAATTTACTGAAAGCATGGGGTGATAGTCTCATTCATGGATGGCTTTTTGAGCTTGGATGTAGAGTCAAAATAGAATTCAAGAGAGGATATTTGATATGTGAATAGGTACCGTAAAATGGGATAACTTTGACCACTTTTTTTTTCAAAATGATGCAATTTTTTTTACTAGATAAGCTAAACTTGAATTGAAACATGCAAAATACAGGTCTATACTCTAGCTTTACTCACCATAAATTGCTGGCTCCTGCCTCTCATAGTTTTGATGTAATTTCAAAAAAAGTGATGGTCTTTGTTACCCCAGCTCTTGGGGTTTCTTTGACTGGGTGGTAAAATCAATTTTATTTTTTGGTAAAATAACTCCAAATAACTCCAGGTTGTGGTGCATTGTAGTAGAACTCTTCTAGTTACATATGCAAAAGACAAATTTTAGGAAAGTGTCATAGTTTGCAAATGGGGGGCGCCGCCCCCAAATGGGGTAACTTAGACCACCTAATGTCAGCCCTGACGGGGTAACATAGACCCTGTCTCTTATACACATCTAGATGTGTATAAGAGACAGGTTCTACTACAATGCACCAAAACCTGGAGTTATTTGGAGTTATTTTACCAAAAAATATAATTGATTTTACCACCCGGTCTAAGTTACCCCAAGAGCTGGGGTAACAAAGACCATCACTTTTTTTGAAATTACATAAAGACTATGAGAGGCAGGAGCCAGCAATTTATGGTGAGTGAAGCTAGAGTATAGACCTGTATTTTGCATGTTTCAATTCAAGTTTAATATAGCTAGTAAAAAAATGGCATCATTTGTAATAAAAGTGGTCTAAGTTACCCCATTTTATGGTAATAAGGGACGGTTTGAGTGTTTTTCCTTAATAACTTCTTAGTTCTTACCATGGAACATCTCATAAATGAGTTTGGGCTCATTTTAAAGGTATTTGAAAGGGCTATTATATGGCATCTCTGAAAAAATTCCATATGCTATTCATATGATGCCAGATGCAAAAAATAAAAGCCTCCTGAACCAACCCTGGTAATGGGGTAATAAGGGACACTTGGAATAAAACTCAATTTTAAAAAGTTTGAAGCATGCAAATTGTACCTACTCATCTATCACTAACAGTACTCTGAAGTCTTCCTCTTCCTTTGTAGATGATGTAGATGTAGAATAAACGACATTTTCTGTGAATTTTACTTGTTTTTCCTTTATTGATATGATATTACTTTACCCATACATTTTGGTATTATTGATGTGATATTACCAGATCCATGGACATCATTTAGCGTTTACCTTGTCCACTGCAAGCTTCATATCAGCAGCCATATAGCATTTATTCTGTAGGTAAGCTTACAGGATGGCTTGTAATTTTGCATCATTTTAATTAGGTCAAGTGAGTTCACTTTCAAAAAAGAATGTAAAAATCATACCTGAAACACAAAGGAATATTTTAGTGACAACCATCATATTTTCTTAGAAAAAGTTATAGTTTAGGTTAATTACTTTTCATTCTATGTTGGCCAGTGAACAATTCTAGCTATGACATTCTATGCAGTTTGGTAATGATCAATGATGCACTAATTTTTTGTCAAGGGAAATTTTTTTGCTGAGCTAGGTAAATCTAATCAAAATTCTTTGTTATTAATTAATTTTTTGTTAACTGGAGCCTTTGCTAATCAAGGCTCTACTGTAAATGCATTTTTAGGGGTGTCCCTTATTACCCCAGGAGAGTTCCCTTATTACCCCATCATGCAGAAATGGCCGTCATTTTTTTCTCGGAATGAGATACTACGCTAATTTGTAAATCATGTTTTTAAGCCAACACCTGGGTGAAACTTTTATGAAGGTAAAATTTTTTAATACAGTGAATATTTTTTTGCTACAGACCTTAGCAGAGGTACGTTTCCAAAATCTCACTTTTGACACTTTTTTTAAGGATTTTTCTAGAGATAGTACGTAAATGTAAGATTTCTTGACTTGCTTTATTGCTACATTGATAGGAAAAATGTTGAACTTTAAGCCACCATTTTTTGTTTTTTTCAATATTTTATTTAGTTTAGCTGCTACAATATTTCTTCGAAATGTCGGAGGACTGTCTCTTATTACCCACCCATCCCTTATTACCCTGTTTGATGGTATCCACATGAAATGTATCTACCATTCAAGCCACAACTAAAGCTTTCTTGGAATTTCTGGCTAGATGAATTATCTCCTATCTAATTGTTGATAAAACTGCATGGTCAGACTGAAAGATTTCAAATATATAAAAAATTGGTCACTTTGGAGCCATGAGATTTCATTCATAAATAGGAAAATTGCAATCTAGCATACTCATACCATATTGGATCTGAAAACATGAAATGAGATTTTTCTTGCATAAGTTTAGTAATATTTTAGAACTTACCACATCATCAGGCTAGATTGATAATGATTATATGGATCTCCATTTCTAAGATTCTGCCCTGGTGTTGTGATGTTATTTACCTTATTTAAATTATGAATTAATTTGAAAAAAAAATTCATGACGTGCAATTACCTGTTTTTGTTTTGATGTAGAAATGGCTTTGCTTAAAATGGAATGTTTTGTCCTAAGAAGTTTTACTTTCTGCAGGTTGTATAAGAATAAGGCAGGGCTGCAAAATCAAGCCCAACTATGGCGGCAGTTGAGCAGCAGCTCAGGCAGTGGTTCTGGAACAGCAACTACCACATCAACAACCTATCACACAGCTACACAAACAGAAACTCTTTCAGACTACCAGAGCAAACATACCCAGCCTGTTTTTGAGTCAAAGCTACCTGATATTGCTAAAATTCCTCTATCTGAACCTGTACCATGGATACCTCCTCCTAAATACTCTACAGCTTCTGAATCTAATACTGCCACTAGAGTCACAACACTTGATAATGGAATACGAGTGGCATCTGAGCCAAAGTTTGGCAGTTTCTGTACAGTGGGAGGTGAGATTTTCTATGATATACTGTATATTTCTTATGTGTGTAGCATATTTTCAATATTTGTGTAGATGTCCTTTTAGTCATAATTAGCTTGAAACTTTGTTCAAAACCACACCTTGAATAATGGTATAATTTTTTGAGATCTCTTGAATACCAAGGTACCTACCTCTTGACTTAAAAAAAACCTTTAACTGAAACCTTTTCCAAGCCAAAAACACACACCAATAAAGTTGATTTTTTGATCCAAACTCAGTACGTATATCAATTCAAACCTGCATATGCTCTTGCAATTATTACCATCAATTGGGATGTCTTTGGCCACCACTACAACAGAAACAAATGGTAGCAAAACAAAATAATAAACGTTGCCCAAAGTCATCCTGGTGACAAAAGTCACGCCAGTCACTTTGGCCAATGTTTATTATTTTGTTTTGCTGCCATTTGTTTCTGTTGTAGTGGTGGCTGAAGTCACCCCAGTTGACGGTACTCACTATGGTTTATGAAATTGCCTCCTGCCTCAAATCAAAAGTCATCAATGTTTTGATGTATGTAGTAGTGATAATTGAGATACAAAAATGTGGTACACCTATGTTTCGTTTCAGTGGTACTGGACAGTGGCAGTCGATATGAAGTTGCATACCCAAGTGGTATCTCTCATTTCTTGGAGAAGCTTGCATTTGGTGATACTCTCAACATGAAGAGAGAGCAGATCATGAATACCGTGGAGAAGCTTGGTGGCATTGTTGACTGTCAAACGCTCAGGTGAGGGCTGCGAATTGTCACATTAAACCTAAACTTATTAGGCCAGAGTGTGCAATACGTTTTTGAACAATTAACTTTCTAAAAAATACTGGTCATTTATTTTCATGTCTAGAGAATCCATATTGATTTGCAATAACCTTACTCCCCCGCCCCTCTGTTCCAAATTTCAAGTTAGGTAGATTTTAATGAGTTAATGTAATTATTGTTGCTAATTTATGTGCTTTGCTGTATTGTTCTTCTGGCAGAGATGCTGTGATATATGCTGCATCAGTGGAGAGCAAAGGCCTGGAGCGCATTGTGGAGCTGCTCTCGGAGGTTGTGTGGAGGCCTCTCATTACGCAGCCGGAGGTTAGTCTTGCTTTAAATTTCAGTGTATGTAAATTTTGCATGTCATATTTCATTAAAAAAGTATGAGATCTGTCATTTCCCAGCAAGTTAATCTTGAATTAAATCTCATTGCATATTAATTTTGCTTTTAATATTTGATAAATAATTTTAAAATATTTCCACATAAGTTTCTTTTGCGTCACAGCTGAAACCTTTATAATCTTGCTTGCTTGGGCTGCTGTGTTGTTTGTCATATAGTACTTATGTTAATTCAACTAAAATTCATAATTCAATGCATTTGCCAAGTTTTTTATTTTTAGCTTTTTTTTGGAAAATTGATCCTTGTCTATTTTGCAGTTTGAAATGGCACAAGTAGCTGTGTCTTTTGATCTGGAGAACCTGGCCTTGCGGCCTGAGAAAGATGCACTGCTCATGGAGATGATTCATAAGGTAGGTAAATGGCAAGATTTATATTGAAAGATCTTCATTCTAAGAGGCGTCACTAATTAATTCCTTTAGCTTATATTGATCCGTCTTTTTAATGCAGTGTTGCATTTGTTCTCAATGCTTTTATATTAACATTAGTTGTGATTTATGTTAAAAATCTACTCAATGCTTATTCTATCAACAAATTTTAATTTATTTTGCAAAAGGCTCAGAGAGAATTGCTTACTGTGACGTGGCCGAATCTCATAGCTTCAAAAAGATTGACTAAAATCATTGAAATTTCACAGTTTTGTGCAGAGATTGCACATATTGATTGCACAAAATCACTAAATGTTATCAGCTATTTCTTTTATTGTTGGTCAAACTTCTTGACAACTATTACCCAAATTTGTTCTCCTGCTTGGGCTGTTTCATCACCTGCATTGTTTTGTGCATCACATGTCGTCTCTAGTTTAAAAACTGGAACACAATTTCTCTTGTTCACGCACCTGATTTATTGCACAGCCGTAGATATATAATGGCTGTGAATTCTATTACCTAATTGGTTTATGATGCTATACAGAGCTTTCTGCAGTCTTCAATTCTGAGGTAGCTGTTCTTATTCTCTTCTCGAAACTCATGAAAACTGGAAGATCATCATGAATAAGTTGTTTCTGGCACAGCAACCATAACCATCACCTGAAAGTTGGACCTCCATGTTGTTGTTGTTTCTTGCGCCCTCACGCTCGCTGGGTGGAGGCTCTGGTGGTGGCTCTGGTGGTGGCCCGGGGGGAGGTACCGGAAGAGGAGGGAGTTGGGCGAAGGCAGGGAGGGTGGCCAGGAACGCCGCTGCCTCCATGGGGCTGTCCCACAATGAGGAGACGCGGAGGAACGTGGGGAAGGAGGGACAAGCAAAGAGGTGCTGGACCGACTGGAGGGTGTCCCCGCACTCCGGGCAGGCGGTGCTGGGGGAGCGTCCGACCCTGAAGGTGTAGGACGCCTGGGAGCTGCAGTATCCCGAGCGGAGCTGGGATATAGTGCCGAGCGGTAGGGGCGAGGAAGCAAGGCCTCTTCTGATGCAATCGGTGATGGTGGGGCTGCGAGGACAGCGTTGTTATGGTCGGTAGCCGCAACGCGGGAGTCGATCTGCCTGCGAAGTAAGCGCTTAGCCTCTCCATAGGCACCAGCGGGCAGAATGAAGTTCGCCAACAATGGTGCAACAAGGTGGCCGAATCTCGACTGGATGGAGGCTTTCATGGTGCGGTCTCCTAGGGTACCAGAAGCAATATGGAATGAGGTGTGGGAGGACTGGAGCGCTCTGGGGAAGAACAAGCCAGGTCCAGGTGGGCGGACGGGAAGGACGCCGGTCTCATGGTGGAAATGGGCGATCGGGGCCATTTTGAGGCAGCCTGTGGCTAGTCTTAAGGCAGAGTTTTGGACTGTTTGAAGGCTTACTATTGAGGTGCGAGAGGCGACAGGGACCAGATGGGGGCAGCATAATTGAGGACTGGGCGCATAATTGTTCGGTAGGTGGCAATGATGTCCTCTTTCGAGAAACTTCAGTTAGTGCCAGTAAGTGCTTTTAGGATACTTAAATAACTCGTCGCTTTGGTGGCTATGGCTCCGACGTGAGGTGAGAACGTGTAGTGCGTGTCCCAGGTGACGCCTAGGATTTTGGGGTTTTATCTTGGGGAATGAGGCTGTTGCAGATTGTGGCAGAAGGGTATGACCAGGATTGGTGAGTATCTGGGGTGAAGAGCGTGACGGAGGACTTGCTCGGTGCCACGGCCAGTTTCTTGGCAGCCGACCAGTCTGAGACGCTCCGAAGGAGCCCAGCAAGGTCAGCCTCTGTAGCGTCGAGCTACGGTGGGACGACACGAAGATTGACCCCGGACGACACGAACATGGTAAGGTCGTACGCATATGAGGCAATGTTGGGGGCCGGTACAGGGATATCAAAGATGAAGTGGTTGAATAGGGCCGGCGAGATAACCGACCCTTGGGGAACTCCTGAAAGATTGTTCTGAAAGAAGATTGTGTTCTGAGGTAGAGGCAGGATGCTATTCTGCCTCTGAGATTGCAGCACAGCCACCGGACCAGGTTGTGGTGTGGGTCCGAGGCTGCGATCATGCTTTGGAGGAGAGAGTGGTCGACACAATTGAAAGCTTTCCACGGGTCGACCGCAGCTGCCACTGTGCGGGCTGGAGGCCGCCGTCAATTGAAACCCGTCGCAAGCTGGTGCGCGAGCGGAGTGGGTCATGTGCGGCGGTGTGTGCAAAGTGGGTCATGTGCTGCCATATTGTGATGATCTGAATTGTTGCATTAAACGGTGCACGCATTATCTTCCCTAAATGGGGCTGTTTTCCTTCGAGAATCTTCTTCATTACTGAATTCTTGAAATAATAATCATATAATAATTTCTTAACTGCACAGTTCTTTAGGTCATTACCGTTACGTGAGATTAGCCTGGGCTTCGAAACATCATTTCGGTTCATACTGCCAGCTCACCGCCAGATTCTTTAACTGTCTCTTTTGTTAAAGATTCAAGATGAATGTCATTGGTCCAATTTATTGGTGAATGTCATTGGTGTCATTGGACATGATACATTTATGATATTTATGAATACCTCGTCTGCCTCAACCAAAGAAGTGGATGCGTTCGTCGCAATATTGTACATCCATTGTCACTTCCATTATCAGAAGGCTTTCCATTGTTCATCCGTTGGCTCAATAATCATTCATTGACATTAATGTGGCACAATCACATGTTGTTAGTCAAATGACACAATAACATAATATGAACATGATACAATCACATGATAATAATCACATGACACAATCACATATTAAACATGACACAATCACATGATATTAAACATGACACAATCACATGCTATTAAACATGACATGATCACATGACATTAATCACACATTTACTGCAGGAAGAAGCTGACCTGTCGAAGGTGTCCCTGGGCGTGAACCCCCTGCCCGAGCTGTGCCACCTGGTCGTGGGTCTGGAGTCCGTGCATCATCAGCATTCTGACTTCGTCACCATCTGCGTCCTGAACGTCCTTATGGGGGGCGGGGGTTCCTTCAGTGCTGGGGGTCCTGGCAAGGGCATGTACACCAGACTCTACACCAACGTCCTGAACAAGTGAGTCAAGACTGCCACTGCACTCTACACCAACGTCCTGAACAAGTGAGTCAAGACTGCCACTGCACTCTACACCAACGTCCTGAACAAGTGAGTCAAGACTGCCACTGCANGCACAGGTCTGTACACAGCACAGGTCTGTACACAGCACAGGTCTGTACACAGCACAGGTCTGTACACAGCACAGGTCTGTACACAGCACAGGTCTGTACACAGCACAGGTCTGTACACAGCACAGGTCTGTACACAGCACAGGTCTGTACACAGCACAGGTCTGTACACAGCACAGGTCTGTACACAGCACAGGTCTGTACACAGCACAGGTCTGTACACAGCACAGGTCTGTACACAGCACAGGTCTGTACACAGCACAGGTCTGTACACAGCACAGGTCTGTACACAGCACAGGTCTGTACACAGCACAGGTCTGTACACAGCACAGGTCTGTACACAGCACAGGTCTGTACACAGCACAGGTCTGTACACAGCACAGGTCTGTACACAGCACAGGTCTGTACACAGCACAGGTCTGTACACAGCACAGGTCTGTACACAGCACAGGTCTGTACACAGCACAGGTCTGTACACAGCACAGGTCTGTACACAGCACAGGTCTGTACACAGCACAGGTCTGTACACAGCACAGGTCTGTACACAGCACAGGTCTGTACACAGCACAGGTCTGTACACAGCACAGGTCTGTACACAGCACAGGTCTGTACACAGCACAGGTCTGTACACAGCACAGGTCTGTACACAGCACAGGTCTGTACACAGCACAGGTCTGTACACAGCACAGGTCTGTACACAGCACAGGTCTGTACACAGCACAGGTCTGTACACAGCACAGGTATGTACACAGCACCTGTCTCTTATACACATCTAGATGTGTATAAGAGACAGGGGTACTCTGACAGGCTTTAAAAAATATTTTTTTTTTTTGTGGGTCACATTTTTAATTTTTTAACCTATTAGATATGCAAACTTTCTAAATCTTTCTAATGTGTTATGCAGCCTCAGTATTAGGCCTTTAATGCCCCTTGACAAAATTTTTCTATGTCAGATAGTTTTTGAGTTGTGGGGGTTTTTGTTAAAAAAAACGAAAAGTGGTCTAAGTTACCCAGCTGGTCTAAGTTACCCCATTTTACGGTATATCATTCAATTCACAAATAAAAGATCTACAAAACGTTCATGGCATTTTTCCTAATTTTGTTATAGTTTGTATTTTATTCTGCAAAAAATAGGAGGATGGCAGGGAGAAAATTGAAAAATTTACAAAAAATGGCCCCACTTCCACAAAAATTTGAATTTCTAGAAAAAGCCATAAACATTTTATAGATAAAGACTTTATGCATCGAATGATATGTGTCTCAATGTTGTAGCCACGGCACTCTACACCAACGTCCTAAACAAGTGAGTCAAGACTGCCACGGCACTCTACACCAACGTCCTAAACAAGTGAGTCAAGACTGCCACTGCACTCTACACCAACGTCCTGAACAAGTGAGTCAAGACTGCCACGGCACTCTACACCAACGTCCTGAACAAATCAGTTGTCCACCATTATGTGGAAGAGAAGAAATATGTTGGTAATTTGAGACCACCAGCTTACGGATGTCAGCCATCGTTCGTTTATGACGCAATGTGAAATTAGAAAAATTATAAAGAACTTACATTTTTCCGGGTCTGACTACGTTTTAAGTTACCCAGCTAATAATAATTTCTTTTTTAAGTTACCCAGCTAATAATTTATTAAATATTTATCTGAACTCATACCCTGAGTGAGCCATACATCCTCTCACAGACACCACTGGATCCACAACGCGGTGGCCGTGAACCACGCCTACAGCGACTGCGGGCTCTTCTGCATCCTGGCGTCAGCGCATCCCTCACACCTACACGATCTCACCGGGGTGCTTACTAGGGAGCTCGTCGCCATGAGCAACGCTGTCACCACGGATGAGCTGCAGGTCTCACACTATTTAATTATTATTTCCTTGCAGGTGTTCTGTTACTCATGTTATGCCTACTTACATGTAACACCATTTATAATTTTAAATGCATATCCTAATATTTATAAGTTGGCTGTTTAGCTATTACCACTATTTAATTAGCATTTCCTTGCAGGTGTTCTGTTACTCATGCTATGCCTACTTACATGTAACACCATTTATAATTTTAAATGCATTTCCTAATATTTATAAATCGGCTGTTTAGGGAGAATATATACGATCAGTTGGTAGCATAAGTTGCATGTAAATGTAGTAAAAATTACCTCCAAGTTTTATCTGAAAGGCACTAGTTTACCCTCAGTTTAAGCCTGGCATTGAAATTTAACTTACCATTCCAGCGCGCCAAGACTCAGCTGCAGAGTATGGTGCTAATGAACCTCGAGTCTCGTCCTGTCATCTTCGAGGACATGGCACGTCAGGTGCTGGCCACGGGCAACCGCAAGCAACCTACATACTTCAGCGAACTCATTAGTGAGTAACGATTATATGTCTACCTGCTACACTATACTGATTTGCTGAGAGTATTATCAGTTTATCACCTCATTTGTGTCAAGGCATGATTTATTCGATTATTGCTGGCGTTTCCTTATCTTCTTTTTGTCTACTCTCACAACTTACTTTAGCCGTTGTAATTTTTTTGTTATTGCGACTTTAACTCTATATCCCATGCCAAGTAACTCTATATCCATGCCTTTTTACTCACTTAACGCCCCCGCCGCAGGCAAGGTAACCCTGGACGACGTACACCGCGTCGCAGGCCAGATGCTCACCTCTAAGCCCTCCATCGCCGCCTACGGCAGCCTCGACAAGCTCCCGTCGCGGCAAGACATCGAGGCCGCGCTCGCTGACAAGGCTGGACGCCTCAAGTCTCCCAGATCTGGTTATTCCCTCTTCCGATGAACATATTAGTTTTGTTTATGCTATTGTATACAACCTCTACAGTGTCAGTTTACTAGGTACTTATTTCGTCATAACTATCTCGGCTTGCACATAATGTTAATCAAGAGTCGCTGTACGATCGAGTTTCCTCTGTAAAAATTGTATCAGTTTGAACATATTTTGCACGTCAATTGACTGAATCGTATCTCTTTATTTCTTGGTTGTGTCGCATTTTTGCTCGAGATATTCTGGAAGATTCCTGAATTTTCCCAGTTATGGCCCCTAAATTTGGAAAAAATTCAACCTTTGTAGTACAAATCGGGAAAAGTTGTTCATTTATTAAACACAAACTGAGCAAACGTACTTGGCTTTCATTCATGCTGATCGTACTAAGTATTAATGTTCATTCGTACTGAACGGTACAAAATAAGTTCATCATTTTGTGATGTACTACAAAATTGGCTTCCATATTTTACTGGTGTGATGTTTGGATAAAAAACCTGAGGCATAATTCCATGGCAAACCTTATCCTTAATTTCAAGAATAATCTGCACATTTCACCTTTTCATTTGTAATGTTCCATTGCCTGTTGGGTTGCGGGACAGCTTATCGCAGTTATTGCTCTTCTCGGACCGAGAACACGACACTGCGTGGCAATTTATTGTGTGGAGGCGTTAGACTAAGCTGTATAGTAAAACTTAGATGCTTTCACCATTTTTGCTTGAACGTTTAAATAATTCTGCGGGGATGTGTATTCTGAAAATGTGATCGCAATTGTTGAAGCTGAATGATTGTGTTGGCTTATGCCACGCACAAGCTCGGTTATGCCATCAGACCATAAGTGTTAGCAAACCCGGCCACTGAATTGTGTTTACATCACAACTGACTCACTCACCACTGACAGTGATGGTGCAGTAGCTCATGGTTGAACTAAATAAGGTTGACCCACGTGGATTTCCTTCTTTCAGTTTAGCTTTCTTGTTACGTCGCTGAGATCGAGAAACGTAAACAAACCCGTCATTCCCATGACGGATTGGTCGACTGGTTTGATCGCATTTCGGTGATTGGTTAATGCACGCGACGTCTCCGAGATCAGTGACGTCACAGGCGAACAGCAAACTACACCCGCAAAAATGAGCAAACATGGGTCAGCAATAGCTCAACACACTCGGCAATTTATTATACTTTCTCATCTGTGGATTTTGTTTCGTTCCCCTTCTGAAAATTGAGACCCGTTGTGGCCGCATTGAATTAAAAATTTTTAAAATTTATTGAAATCAAAATTTTATTTAAATTAATAAATAGTCAAAAATTTTCCTTTCAGTTAAAATTTTTTCCAAATTCTGCATCTTTTCTTGATGAATCATTCAGGCTTCAGTAGCAAGTCCGGTAATGGTTAAAACGTACTGTACTCACGGGTACAGGGGTGTAGTGCGTTAATGGATATAACGTATTATAATCACCGGTACAGGGGTGTAGTGCGTTAATGGATATAACGTATTATAATCACCGAGGGGTGTAGTGCGTTAATGGTTATAACGTATTATAATCACCGGTACAGGGGTGTAGTGCGTTAATGGTTATAACGTATTATAATCACCGGTACAGATGTGGAGTCGATGATCATAAATTGCTATTTCTGACAGAGATCAGCTGGTAGGTGCCTCTGTCATCACGAGCCTTCAAACCAACTATAAAAATAATAACTTTTTACACTCAAAAACAAATCGCAAATATTGCCACGTTCAGATGCTATCAACGAATGAAGGTGAAGCATTCGCGGGGATGAATGATCTCAGGATGAAACATGATGAAGGAAACTTTAATTGCTGAAAAATGTGATACCGTAAATTATTCGTCGCAGTTAGTGGCATAGCAACGCTTCGATGGTATCCATGACAACGGATGACGTTACCCTCGCTTGTTGCTAGGCAACCGCAGCCCTGCACTCTGTGTTGACTAAACACGAAATCTTTCAGCATCTGGCAATAAGCAAACTCGAGGATGGATATTTCTTGTGATGACAGTGTTTGTCACAGCACTTAGTGAAAGATATCGGTGAAACTTAGAGTTTAACGATTGGTTGTGCTTAAAAGGAAAGAAATTCCAATCAATATGTATTAAGTATCGATTAATGAAGTTCGCTCACATTGTCGTGTGCTGATTGTTCTGGCAATGTGTGGCTACCTGAAAATGGCTTCACCGATCTAGGGCAAGCGATGCAACGGCACAGTTCGTTTTTATTCACGAAAAAGTTAAGCCAATACAGTATTTGTGCTCAAAATTGACAATGGCTTCGACCAAGGATCCGACTTCACTGAACCCATGGAACCGGACGGAGTCGACGGTGGACGCTGAAACTCTCATCGCGTTGGCCGTACGTTTGAAGAACTCCAGCATGTCTAGCAGCAGCCGAGTGAGAACTGAGTCTGGCGCTCATCTTCCTTTGAAAATCACGCGGCGTACGCCTAAAGGCCGCGACTTTGTAACGTACAACTGTAACCTAAACGACGGGGATGACACGCTCACTAAAGTCCTGCTGAGATCCAGGCAGCGGTCGGACAGGAGGAACCAAGTCGTGTCCTTCGCTAGGAGCAAATTGCTGGAACACGAACAACGGAACATTGAGGCCGAGAATAGGAAGATTAGTGAACAAAAAAGAAACTTCGAAGACCATTTAAGGAAAATTAAGGAGAGACATAGCAAGAAAGTTGAAGCTGAAAAAATTCGCAGATTGCGCGAGAAAGAAGAGATGCTTAACCAGGCAGTAGCTAAAGAATTTCACGAGCGGTTACTGAAAAGGAGATACTTGCGGCTGTTGAAGAACAACGTGATGTTGGGGAGACGACACATGGAGCTGGCCCAGTCTCACCACCGACTATGTCTGCTGAGGAATTATTTTCGCGACTTTAGGAGGAATATCGAGTCGTTGATTGCGCAGCAGATGGCGCGAGCCGCTGAGCATCATGACCTGGTTTGGAAGAGAAGAATTTTCGGTAAATGGAAGGAGGTGCGTCACGTCCGTAGACTAACTGATTTCTAGCCCACAAAAAAACCTTTATAATGGGTTATTTATCTCCTTTCGAGATGAGAATTTATGTAATTGAAATAATGACGCGTCACTTCCGTAGAATTTCCGTAGAATTTCGCGTCACTTTCCGTAGAAAAAAGTCCAAAAAAAAACCTTTATAATGGGTTATTTATCTCCGTTCGAGATGAGAATTTCTGTAATTGAAATAATGACTTTCAAACAATTCCAGAGTGAGAACGGAACATTGTCTCTATGTGGACTATTGAAGGCATTGAAAAATAACATAAAATTATTTGCAATGAGCATATAATTAGCACTTCTTTAGCCCTGTAGTACGGCTTCACCTCGCTCAGGATCGTTGTTTCTTCATGCCATGCTATAGCATTTAATTACTTGTAAAGTTGTGGTTAGTTTCATAGCGTTTGTCCCATTTTATGCCTAGCGTCCCACAGCGTTTGTCCCATTTTATGCCCAGCGTCCCACAGCGTTTGTCCCATTTTATGCCTAGCGTCCCACAGCCTTTGTCCCATTTTATGCCTAGCGTCCCACAGCGTTTGTCCCATTTTATGCCTAGCGTCCCACAGCATTCCCTAATCGTCCCCAGCTGCTGGTGGCGCGGCGGTGGCGGCTGCAGGCGGCGGCCCACCACCACCAGACGACGCTCCTACGGCGCCTCCTGCAGCGCTGGAGGACGCGCGCTCAGGACGCCGTGCTGGCACTCAGGGCCGACATGGCGGCTGCCCGGCAGCACCATAGGAAGTATGTCGGGCCGCGTCATGTGTATTATGTCGGATTATGTTCATTATGTCATGTCAAGTGGTTATGACACCTATGGCAGCACCTTTACCTATGACATACTTCCATAGGAAGTATGTCGGGTCGCGTCATGTGTATTATGTCGGATTATGTTCATTATGTCATGTCAAGTGGTTATGATGAGCGGCAGCGCCATAGGAAGTATGTCGGGACGGGTCATGTGTATTATGTCGGATTATGTTCATTATGTAATGTCAAGTGGTTATGATGAGCGGCAGCGCCATAGGAAGTACTGTATGTCGGGACGGGTCTTGTGTATTATGTCGGATTATGTTCATTATGTCATGTCAAGTGGTTATGATGAACGTCATTCTTGGATGTAAAAAACATCTTTATGTAATATTTAAAAATATTATATGTAATATTTGGCTAAAATGACATAATTTGTTATTTTTAGGCAAGTTCGCAGTGATCAAAGAATTTCTTCCAAACTATTAAACAGATTTGAACGAAATTTTGAATATACATTCCTAACAACCAAATGGTGATTTTTTTAGCTTTCAAAATTTTTTCGATTTTACCTTCGTTTGCGAGTTTTTTTTCATTTCACCGTTATTCTTGATTTCACACTTCCTTATATTCGGCCCCTATCGCCGCGCAATTTGTCACTTAAATTCACGGCGATCAAGAAATTTCTTCTAAACTGCAGAACAGATTTCAACGAAACTTTGCATATAAATACCTAACTTCTCAACGGTGGTGTAGCTCGTGACAATTTTTCTATTTTGCTTTCGTTCGCGAGTTATACAGATATAGGAGGAACGGCCGGCCTTTCTACCGGCCGTTTGAACAAAGAGCCTTATACGTATAGCTGTGTAACTCGCAAACGAAGGCAAAACGAAAACCTAACAAACCTAACCTAACCTAACAAAACTTTAGGTTAGGTTGATTGAAACTCTATTTAACTGAGCTGTGTGCGGCAGGCAAGTATTGCGGCGGGTGTGGGGGCGCTGGCGGGCGCTGCTAGTGACGCAGGCTCAGCGCCGACAAGAGGACCTCGACCGACGAAGGTGGCGGGACAGCGTACGTCTCGTCGTCCCCGACTTCTCCCCGCCAGGCTCCGACGAAGATCTAGACGAAGACGAAGAGTTAAGCGGCCCTGAAGGTTTAGACGAAGACGAAAAATTAAGCGGCGACGAAAATTTTTATGACCACGAACTCTGGGACGATGACCGACGGACTCCTGCGTTCAGAGACGTGGATAGATTTTCGTTCCGCTAGTCGAAGATATCCGCCCGTCATTTGACGTTAAAAAAAACGTTCGTTAAACGTTGATTGTACGGAACAATGTTTAATTGAACATTGATTGTAAGGAACAACGTTTGTTTGAACGTTGCTGGAACGGAATAATGTTTAATTGAACGTTGATTGTAAGGAACAACGTTTGTTTGAACGTTGATTGTACGGAATAATGTTTGGTTGAACGTTGATTCAACGTAACAACGTTTGTTTGAACTTTGATTCAACGGAACAATGTTTGGTT